TACATACTTCACAGCCCGTTCTCATTCCTATGTCATTAGAATACAGACACAGTGTATAGTTAGTTGCAATATGCAACTTTACTGCAAGATGTCACTAAATGCTACACACTGGTCCTTTAAGCTATTTTGTATAGCGACACACTGGTTTAAGACAGCTTGTAAGGGCTAACTTGGTTAGCAGTAAACTGGTCTAAACAAATAACTACAATACAGCTGTAATAAAAAAGAGTACATAAAGATAACAAGGGGATGTGGAGAGTAGCCTACTAGAAGTTTGGTTTACAGATGAAAAACAAATATTTTGTGTTATAATTATTATTATTATTTGTGTTTTTTGCTGATACTGATATACATCTAATTTTACATGAAATGTAATAGTCATTCCTTGCACTTGACTGGGCATGTTTCCTTGTTTGGTGATGATGTCAATGCAGCATATTATGTATAAGTAGTGATTTTTGGTGCACTTGTCTTATATTATTAATGTTTATGCATAACTGCAACTTGCTATCAACAGCTTGACTCAGCTAGTGACATCATCACATCATGATATGATGTAAGGCGTAGCAGCTGTTTTGATGAAATGTGTCCATTCAGCATGAATTTCTGCTACAACAATGGAAACATTAAAGCACCTACGATCCTCTTTGTTGGTCAAGCATTTTTTCCTTGCAACCTGGTACTGCATCTGCATCCTGGATCATGTGCAGCTGTGTCAGAGTTTGGCACCGCCTAACAAGAACTGGACAAATAACAAAAACATTTATTTTTGAAACATTCATTGACATAAAATGACCACAGGATGTCACTGGTGTCTATGGAATGGCCAGGAGGTACTGTATGGGGCACATAGCGCCACATAAGTTGCTGGTAGATTTAAATCTATTGTGCATGGCATAAACTTTAAAGTAAATGTTTTACAGTATTCTCAATGACAATAAAACAGCTGTTTCAGGCTGTGTGGGGACATAGGTCGGAACGCAAACTGGAATGGAAAAAATGTTAAAATCTTATTTGACTTATTATTGCATTCTAAATGTTTTCATTATTTTGTTTACATGTATTTATGATGGACAATAAGATTAACTAAAATAAATCAAAGTAAAGATGTCTGGCTTATCAAGTATAATAAATGGTTGACATAAATTCATTAGGAAGACAGTGAAGCCATCACACATAATTCCGATTTTGAGAATGGCATAATTTAAAGGATTCAGATATCATTTTAAACAACAAGCCATATAGTATCATGTAAGAAGTAGCTTTCTGTTTGTGATGTATTTGGACAACCATACTTAAAAACCGTATGTGGCCACGAAGTTATGCTGAATGTATAATATTTATTCCTTTTTGTTTGTTCTGTTTACATATTTTCTGTTATGTCATAACATAACAGGTCATCATCATCAGCTGCATAGTAGTTTTCAGTGTTTTTTTCGGTCTATGGAAAACAAATAGATTATTAAAAAGTGATCCAAAGAGTACACAAAATCCTAATCATCATTACACGCAGTGTAATTTCACTTTGGCTACTTTAAATGATTGAAGAGAGAATGATTAATAAAATAAACTGTTTCTGTTCCTGAACCTGTTGTGAGTAAAATTGGATTATTTGAGCAGTCAGTTCCTTCCTCAAGTGCAGTCTGTTTGGAGAATGGCGACCCCCTCTGTTCATACTGAGGACGTGAAGGGCAGGCCAGCTGCTTTTATCGCTGCTCCACATAAACAGCTGCACATCTGGGCAGGCAGAGATGCCTCGGGGGAACAGAGGGGAGGCTGAGGACCGACTGCACAACGTGTAAATGAACGAGGCCCTGAAGGGGACGGCAGTCGACAAGCACCCGTTGTCCTCTTGGCTGCTTTTTGAAGTAGGCTTAAGTTTCTTTTTGGACTCTGTAAGTTCCAAAAAATCTTTTTTGTTTTTTTGTTCTTGTTCTTCATCATCATTTATTGCTTTTGCTGATTGTTTCAAGAGAAAAATAAGTATTCATTGTTCACTGGAGCAGCATAGGTGAACTGAATTTTACCGTGGCTTTAAACAGAAACCAGAGAAGAATTATGCATAAAAATTTCCAATGAAAATAATTCTCACGCTTAGCAATCTGCAGAAATGCTCCATATCACATGCAGGAAATTTGTTTTTTGCAGAGATCTCCCCTCCCACAGCAGTTTGAGTGTTTCCATGTTCTCAGTGCTTTTTTTTGTTGTATGTGTTTATGTCCATTAGTGTAAGCATGTGCAGGCCTACAGGTTTATCCTGTGTGGGGACATTGGCGAGTACATTTTCATGCATACGTGTGTGTTGCTGAGGGACATCTGATCTCCGGGCTCGCCGCACGCCACGCTTGCTTGCAGGTGGTCTGTCCACACTTGGGGGCTGAGCAGATTTAATATTTCATAGGAGCACAGCACACCCCTGGACGCCATCATTGAGTCCACATGGCCGGCCGGAAAGCTGCTCTGTGAACACTTGGCTGAAATATGTGGCCTGCCAGCCCCCTCTCCACCATGCTGCTCGCTCACTTGCTGGGCCTCACAATTAAAAGCTAACCACAGCTACAGATGTTGGCAGCTGTCTTTAACCCATGAGATGCCACTCTGGAGTTCCAGACTGCCACTCTTCACTGTGTAAAGTGCTAAAAGCTGCAGATGAAGGTGGGGTAGTTACCAAAAGTTTGTGCATTGGCTCAGTGAAAGAAGAGGTGACACGTCTAAGAAAAGGCAGAAACAAAAGCAGAAAGAAAAATCTGGCCTAAAAAGAAAGAAGAGAAAGCAGCAAAAGCTACCCAAAGCATTTCATTTTGAGAGGTTCCAGGCCAAGTACGCTAGCAAAACTCTCAGCTCCTACAGTTTTAATGCCTCCTACATCTTTATACACCATATAAACAGGAAACCAAAACCAAAAGTGTTTATGACCACCTTGCAAAATCCAATGTTAGGAATTCAAGTTCAGGTCAGAATTTTACCCACCATTCATCAGATTCCTGAGAAGCCAAAACCTTGTTCAGTGTTTGCCGTC